CGCCATCTACAAGTGTCGTGTTAAACAGCAGAGAAACCTTTGTCATTGAATGGGCATTAGAAAGCACATGAGTGTGTGGATGTGAAATGGACACCAAGTTTCTGACATCAGTTTGATTTGGATCTTTGAGCTGATTTTTGACGTCAAGTTTTGATGTCAATTTCATGTCTTTTGAACATCATTTGCACACTGGGACACATTTCAAAATGAGATCGATGCTGTCCGAGGCCCCAGTTAAGAAAAAAATATATTTAAACTTAAATCAGGCTGGCAAATAATTCATATTATGCAATAAATATCAATCAAACACACAAATCATTGATGTCAATGTGATGTCCATATGACATCAATTTGACGTCTAAACCATGACATTTATTTGATGTAAACTGAATGTCAAACACATTGGCCTGCATATACATTAAACCTATTTCAGTGTGTGTATTAACTTCATATTTTCACCCAAGAAATTGCTGTCCAAACTGACCTTAAAATGATGTTATACAGCATCGTGATCAAGTCTTGATTAACATTTGACGTCAAATTGATATCAATTGACATCAAGGTGCCCGCTGGGAAGTGTCTGAGCCTCCAGTTACTGTCCTTTTTCCTGTTTGTGTTTCTTTCTTCATTCTGTTTCTTTATACTCTGAGGCTTTAATTTGGAGTGACAGATTATTATCTGGAGCAAACAATGAATTAGCATGACAATACTTTCAACATACAAATAAGAAGTTATTCACCAAACTCACACCAACCCGACAGCAGATATTCACATCTTATCATTAACCTGCTTAGACACACTCAACGGCACATTCTTTCTTACATCCCCCACACACATACACCCCATTACTGAGATTCTAATAATGACTGTAGTGAGAAATGATGAAAAACTGAAGCCTTCTTCACAACCAAGTACAGTTTATAATGAATAGTTTTCTTCGCCAGCAAGACCTGAATCTAATGGCATTGATTGTTCGGGAAGAGAAATGAATGATTCTGGTTCTGATTCAGATCCGCTTAATGGTTTTGGTTCCTTAATGAGTCTGTTAATGACTGTTTTAGTACTTTGGAGGAAACACACAAATATAGTGTTCCCGATAATCTCCTGTGACAAACTTCTGCCTAATATTGCTGCAAATGTAAAATATCCCACACTTAAAAAGCCTCTGGATAATAATATATAGTCTAGTCTCAGTCTCAGACGTCATGCCCATGGACTGTTGGCTGAATGCATATGGCACACAAAATTGGAAACACCTCGGGAGTTTCAAAGTCATCATTGGATTGGTTGAATTATACAGGATTTTCAGGAGACATTGGTGAAATGTTAAAGTCGCATTCTTTAACATTTCACCTAGAAACAAAGATACCGTGATGAAACCCCCTTATGGAAGAAATCGTCACCGTTTTTACAACTGTGACGATGAGTGCTTATCAGGATCAACTAAACGCTGGATTTTCAAAAGTATGTGAAATATTTCAAGTTTGCTGCATAGAATCTTTAAAATAAATCCAAGAGTTTTACACACCGGTCTGTTATTGTGGGGACATTTCCACCCCCTAAACACGACGTGCCACAAAACGAAACATGATTGGTTGGTCCTCTTGGGCGGTCCTTGGCCATTCAAAGCGGCCAAGGTTCCCGGACCTTCTGCCATCAGTCTGAAGGTCTGGCTACGTGGGACTATATATATTCTGACAAATCTTACAAGAAATCATAACAAAGACAATGTGCATTTTATTTCAAAACAATACAAACCAATACAACAAACCAAACTATTCATCTACTCATGCTGTTCCAGTCGTGGCAAAATCCAGTCATTTTAATAGAAATCCAGTCTGTGTCAGGATTATGGACCTGTTTTGTGTGTGTTTTCTCCCTCATTTGCCCATATTTGGTCGTTCCTGTTCCTGTCCTCATTGTCTCATTATTAGTTGATTCCCCTCACCTCTCATTCCCTCGTTTAGTGTTGTATTTAGAGTGTAGTCTGCCCCATGTTTCCTTGTCGGGTCTTATATGTCTTGGAGTAGGCAATCATGACAGTCTGAGGGTGAAAGATTTAGCTATGCAGAATTCACAGCAGGTTCAAGTTGGTCACACAGATTTGTCATGTTGACAACAAAATGCTGTTTGATTTGAAAGTGGCTTCTGTGCGAGCTGTGCTTCATACATTGCTATACAACTGACAATAGAAAATTGACCTTTTTTTACTCGCAAGATTTTGCTAATATGACCTAACCATTCCATTCCATTTATTTTAATGGAAAAAAATATTAGAATCTTCATGCATTTTCATTACAATTACAATTCATTGTATGACAGTTCGCGGCTGGCAAATAGAACAAAATAAAAACGCCATAACATTCTATTTATTCTAAGTCTTCCAAAGCCATAAATGATGAAGGAATGACCTATAAGCAGCCAGAATACACTGGATTTGCCTTGCAGTGAGGACAATACTGTAGTGCAGTCTATTTATTGAATTTGTAGTATTTTTCATAGTACTGTTCCTTTCTGTGCTGGAAGGGTCTTTCTTTTATCACATATAAGGACACAAGAACACAACTGAGCTAAAAATAATTTCTTATGTCATGGCGCAGTACACGCAGTAGCAGAGCCACAACTGAAGCAGTGCCGGAAACCCTGTCAGAATATTTTAGTATAGCCTTCCTTCCACGAATGGAACATCATGCAATTTTTATTTTATTTATTTATTTTTATTTTTTAAAGTGAACCGGTCCTTTATTCACAGTGCTAGTGATTATTGACTTTTTATTTTTAATTTATTTGACTTCTTTTTTTATTGTTTGTCTTTTTTGGCAGTTTAATAAATACAAATGTTAGTTAGTCTTTCTTTCTTTCTTTCTTTCTTTCTTTCTTTCTTTGCAACACACTTTACATGGTCTGTAACTCTGGTCTGTAAGCTTGAGTCCACATGACTCTTTGAAATGTTTTGAGCTTTTAACTGTCTTCTGGAAACTAATACCCATCATATTTGACAAGCTACACTTTGGTGCATTTGATACAGGACACATACACAGCTGAAAGTATTGACTGGTCCCAGTGTGTGTGAGGCTGCTTGCAGCTGCTGTCATGGTGTGTTTCCATCAGTGCTTTGGCCTCTGGAGTGTGAGTGGAAGGTGGGGGGTCTTTGTGGCTGTGCTCTCCTGTTATAGATAGCTGTTAAGATGCCTGCGAGCCTGCGGGGGTTCTGATGACTGAATGAGGCCTCTCTCCTCGCCAGGCCTTTGAGAACGGTTGAGGCGGGTGGGGGAAAAATGAACACATCTCTCGCAACCAATATCACAGGCTAGCGAGGCACGGCTAATCAAACAAAATGACAGATATTAATTTTAAGGAAGACTGTGAAATAGGTCTGATTTCCTGAAGCCCTTTCTTTTGTTTTTTGTTTTTTTTTAGACTTTATGAGATAGATTGGTGTCGTGTTGAATTGAAGTTGATCGTACTAAAGCTGGTACTTTTTCCACAAACAGACAGAATAACCGACACATGGGTAAGAACATCCAAAAGTAGATCATATCTCACAGCGGGTCATGTTCACTGACTGCTGTCACAGGGTCAACAACATCCACAGCACCAGACCCCCACACTCCGCCCACTCGTTCACAGTCACTAGAGTTCTGATCACCTGCACCTGTGTCATCCAATCAGCACAGACTATATAAACCACTCACCTCAGTTCACTGGTGTCTGGTCTCGTTGTTCCTATCATAACACTACCCAACTGCTTACCTGCATGGACTTATCCTCTTCAGTTCGATATTCATCTGCATCCAACCTCCGGAACCGGCTCACCAACACCAGTTCATCCAAACCTGCAAAGATAAGACTGTTATTCACTGAACTATCTCAGCATTGCTCTGTTGACCAATCACTCACCTGCTATCCACTTATATCTGTCAAAACCTGCAATAAACCTGTTTGGATTACCTTGTTGCATTCTTCATGTTTTATGACAACTGCTCATACACATATTTCTGTACAAGTATATGTGAATGTTTTCAAACAGAAATCAGGATTAATAATTTTAAGTTATATTTTTGGCTTTAATTTGATAAAATAGTGTGAGAGGAGACAGCAATGGGAGGAAATAAAATTTAGAACCAACTCAAGCCACACATACACAAATAACAGACTCCTGAAGATCTTAACAACAGTACCTTTTAAAAGTTTGGAGTCAGTATGATTTAAAAAAAATATATATATATTTAGTTTTTATTATTATTGATTGAAATTAATACTTTATTCAGCAAGAACACATTAAATTGATCGTATAACAGTTTCCCCAAAAATATTAAGCGGCACAACTGTTTTCATCATTGATAATAAGAAATGTTTATTGAGCAGCTTATTAGAATGATTTCTGAAGGATCATGTGACACTGAAGACTGGAGTAATGGCTGCTGAAAATTCAGCTTTGCATCAGAGAAATAAATTACATTTCAAAATAACTTTCAAATTTTAATATATTTTAAATTGTGATATTTTTGTAATAAAAGAGACTTCTTTCAAAAACGTAATCTTAAAACCCCCAGACTTTTGAATGGTAGTGTTTAAGAATGTTCCCGTATATATGAGAAAACACATGAGTATTTTTTTTGTTACATTGTTAAAATAATTAAATATGATTGAGCAATTCAGTGACCTTACAATAATGCTGTATTCTAGTTCATTTGGAAAGTCTGATTTTTCAAGTTCTTGGTAAATGCAAAAAATGTACGTGAAGTTCATGAACTTGGTAACTCCAATTTTTTGTGTGTGTTCATCAGCATTACAAGGACAAAAACAAATTTGCGTGCGCCAAACTCGTTGTGAATCTGGTGGAAACAAAATATTCTTTCTTTTTTTTTTTTTCAAGAATTAAAGCATTAAAGATGCAAATGTCTTCATTCAAGACTACTTCCGCTTAACTCCTCCATTGTACTCTGCTGAAGCAAAACTAATCTTTTTATTTCTCTCTCTCTCCTTCTCTGCTTTAGAAGAGACTGCATTTGAGGCAGGAGTGAGGGTGCAGATCCACAGTCAGGCAGAGCCTCCCTTTGTACATGAGCTGGGCTTCGGAGTCGCCCCAGGCTTTCAGACCTTCGTGGCTACCCAGGAGCAAAGAGTGAGTGAGCTTTGACCTCATAGGTTTGTCCTCAGCCTAAATATTTTGGTCTCTCAAGCCCTATTCACACCTGTTATTAACATGCATCTAAGTTGAACCTATATCACAAGAGTTCAGTAAAAGCAGTGCTCAAATCACATTCGATACTCAGAAACAGATGCCACTACATCTCATTGGTAGTGTAAATACTAATGCATCCTGACATATCATCAAAGGACTGCTGACTCACCGAACACACTGCCAAAACCAGATCGCCCAGGTTAGTAAATGGGGCATTTTTAATCCATACCCATGTGTTCACGCTCCTCATTGCTCCACGTTTCTATTCTGTTTCATGTATAATGTTAATATTTCATCAACCTCCTGAGGGTGTTCAATCTTAAAGGACCATCACATGGTTTGTGTGTCCATGTGTTTGTGAGACAGGTGTCTAAGCATACCAATTATTTTTTGAAGCTCTTTCACTTGAATATTGACTGTTCACTGTGATACCTTATTTTTAGTTTTTCTTTTGGTATTTTGCTCTCCACTTTGTTTTACTTTGTTGTTGTTGTCCTGATGCTGTGAGGCTTTAATATCTCCAGCCGTGACCTTGCTGGCAATCTGACTGGTCTTTGTTTGTAATCAGTCTCACTCAGTCTCACCACAGACAGTTTGGTGCTAATTCAAAAAGTTTCACACATAATATTTTGTGTTTTTGTGAAGAGTCATCTAAATGGTGTATCATTCAGTCACTCATATGAGACTGTACTGTACTCCATAAAAAGCATTTTAAGTGTGTATGGTCCCCCCCAATGTACATTATTTTGCCATGTTGAAATGTTGCAAACTGCTGTGTTTCATTAAGCATCAAATAGAATTCTCATGCTCATTGGCTGCCAGTAGTGTAGTTTGGTGAAGCGAATAGAGAAAATTAGACAATGAACTATACACACACTTATCATGCTTTACCAGCTGAGACAACATGAGAATCAGTACTTGTAGGGCTGAAGAAGCAGAAAAGGTCTGAAGCCAGAGGATGGAAATATTGACAAAGACAAAACATGAGCTTAACATTGGTACGTCGTCCTACACATGAAGAAGAAAATCCTGAGTAATAATGCCCACGTTGTTTCTTTTTCTTTTTTTTTTGTTGGACAGGTAAAGGACTACAAGTTTATTTGCCGCTTCCTTGTTGTTAATTGCACTCACGGTTGATTACTGGTTTTGTTTGATTATGCTAATTGTTATGTTTAGGTGGCTGTTAAACTGAAATACAGGCTAATGACTAGTAACCTCAGCCCTCTGTAGTTGTGGTGTGTAATTACGTTTATGAACATTAGGACTGTTTGGCAAGCCTTCGGTGGTGTGCATTTTATTCCTAGTCATAGCAGCCCAATAATATTCTAAAATCACTGGCATAAATGGTAATAAACAACCTTGTTCATCTTTTCTTTTCTTTGTTTTTTTTTTGAGTCAAATGCATCAGTCTGGTCATGGCAATCCCTATAATATGTTTAAAGCTGTTGTGGTTGATACATATGCATCTGTGGTGTTTCTGTCAGAGTGTCTGCAGCCTTCACCCTTCCTGCTGTTATCTGAGAGTGCAAGGGTGGTGTTCACTTATCTGCTGTAATGTACAGGTTAGGGAGGGTATCAACATCTCTGCCTGGGCTTCTGTTATCTGTCAGGGTCTCCTGCTTTCTTACCTTATGTTATCTGCCCTCTCTCTCCTTCTCTCTCTCTCTCTCTCTCTCTCTCTCTGTGCACCTCTGTGCCTTCAGTAATTCCAAATGGACCTTTTGTTATGGAAGATATGTTTGGGACAGGAAAGCAAAAGTCTTTGATAATTTTGATAATGTTTTATTCAATAAGAATAAAACAGAAATTGTTGTTTTTGGACCCTCAGATTCTTTGACTGCTCCCAATCCAACCCTTGGTGGGTTGTCTTCATGTGTTAAGCAATGTGTGAAAAATCTGGGTGTTGTATTTGATGAACATCTGAAGTTTGAAATCATCCTTGTTTCAGTTGCGACTCCTGTCTAAAATTAAGACTTTTCTTTCTTTTAAAAATTTTGAGAAAGTGATTCATGTAAGGGAAACAGGTCAATTTAGCTCAAAGGGAATCATTTAAGATTTTAAAGGGAATTTAGCTGCTAGTTGGTTCAGGCTTGTGGCGCTAGGATCTGATTTATGAACATCCTGTGTCTTGGGCCTCTGTGGAATTCGGCTCCTCGTGTTTCAACTATGTTCTTGATCAAATCTTAAATTGTCTGATTCGGTCTGATACCCTACATTCATGATTTTATTACTTCTAAACTTGACTACTGTAATTCACTTTATGCTGGGGTTAGTCAAACAGCTTTGTCCCGATTACAATTGGTTCAAAATGCGGCAGCTAGACTTCTGACAGGGGTTCATAAGCAGGACCATATTACTCCGGTTTTACGGTCCTCACACTGGCTGCCTGTGCGTTACAGAGTAGATTTTAAAATTGTACTTATTGTTTATAAATCCCTAAATGGTATGGCTCTATTATACATCTCTGATTTATTGAGTGAGCATTATGTAACCAGATCTCTCCGGTCTTCTAACCAGAGACTCTGGTCTATCCCCAAGACGAGGTGGAAGTGCAAGGGAGACCATGCTTTCTCTACAATTGCCCCAAGACTCTGGAATGACTTGCCCATTTCTATTAGAATGGCTTCTTCTGTGTCTACTTTTAAGTCTAAGTTAAAAACCTATCTGTTCGATAAGGCTTTTAATTCTGGTTGAAGCACTCTTGTCCTTGTTTTATGTGTTCAGATTTCTCTTCTAGAAATGTATGCAACTTAGTGCATATTTAATTAAACAATGCATCATTTTCATGTTTAGATGTAACATTTCAGAAATCCTGTAATACAAATCAATTGTTTTAATGTACTGTTATTAATAAAATGAGGAATTATGGTGGTATCTTTTTTTTTTTTTTTAAATACACCAGTGGTGTCTTGCCTTAAAATTGTGTAGACATCCTACTCTTTGCAGTTAGCAAGTCTGAAGTCTGTACATTACAATTGGTTGATATCTTTGGATAGGAAAAGTATCATTGGCCCTGTCATAATAACATGTGTAGAACAGTTTCCAGGTGATGAATAATGGATAGAGATAACATGTTTCTGTTGTGTGGAACCACTGTCCACGATTAAATCAAGTTTAGCCAAAGAGTTATAATAACATACTATCAAGCTAAATAACTTTTCTTTACACACATAATGTTAGATGTATTGACCACATCCCTAGCACACCCATTGCAGTTGCTTTTTTATTAAAGCAACTTGAACGCATGTTCAAACATTGAGTTGAGCCAGTCAGTTTAACATGATGCAATCATGTTTGAACGAGAAACCTGATACAATGGTGTTAAATAAAAATGAATTGTTTAAAGAAAATATTTTTAAAACTTTTCACTGTTGTCCATGGAAATCTTATACACTGCTAGCTTCATGTCTCTTGTTACACTCCACAATCTCTCTTTCTTCTCACTTGATAAAATAATTTGAAGTCAAATCAAATTTTGGTGTCCTTTTCCATGTAGAACAGGTAGCATTATCCCTGATCTACGTATATTTACAGGTTCACAAACAATTCGCGCTGACATGCACTGGACCAAACATGTGACTGACACAATCGGGCACTTCATTAGGAAAATGTACTGGGTGTCAGTGGGCAGGCAAAGGAGGCAATGGTGTGAAAGTAGGCATTGACGCTTTACTGTAGAGGCGTTATTGTGTTGATGCATTCATTCGTGTTAAGTCTCAGTTCAGAAAAAGTCCTTTTTGCAGCTTGGTGTTTCAATAAATATTTTTTTCCAGCATGTTTTTACTGTACAATAAATTTTAGACATTAAGGATATTAATATTCTACCACAAATATATTAGCTTTATTGCCTATGAGAGGCACTAGTGTGCTGCCAATGGAGTAGACTCACTTTTTTTAGTGTCCTTAGAGCTGCCTTTTTTGTTTAATATACATTACCGTTCAAATATTTGGGGTTGGCAAGATTCATTGTCTCTTATACTCACCAAGGCTACATTTATTTGATCAAAAATACAGTAAAACAGTAATATTGTGAAACAATACAATTTAAAGTGTATTTATTTTTATTTTTATTTTTTTTTTTGTGTGGGGGGTATATATATATATACACCTAAACTATAAAAAAAAGAAAGAAAAGGAAAAAGAAAGAAAAATCATACTGACCACAATCTTTTGTATTTACAGTGAACTTCAGTTGCTTGTTGTCCAGATTCACATTCTTGTGTTTATAGTGTAAGTATCGTTGGGGAACAGCACAAGATGTTTGGTAGTAGTTGTAACGAGACTGTAGTGTGGTTAGTGTTTGGTTGTGAATGTGCCGGAAAGATCAGCTGAAATACTAAACCTCCCTGTTGAACAAATGAGCCAGCCTGACAAAATCAGAACTTTTTCCCTGAAACCATTTGTTACAAACTTGGTTTTGACAACTTGGCTGACCCACTGGGAAAAGTCCCAGTGCTCTTGGCCAGTCCACCATGTGTGTCAGGGAGACCATTTTCAACAACACATTCATTTATTGTTCTTTTGCAGGCCTGGTTGTCCCTCAAGACATGGCAGGATGCTATAAATCTCCCTCTGCACATTCAGCTTAGTTTTGAGTTGTTGAACATTGATTGAATTCAGAAAGAATATTGTTTATTTTGGGATAATAACAATCTTTGATTGATAGATATTTTGGGGATTGTGTCTCAATTACTCCCAGAATGCACTGAGAGCACAGCTTGTGCTTACATGTTCAATGAATATGTCTCTCTTTCTGTTTTGCCCTTCAGATGTGCTGTAAAAATGGACCATAAAATGAAATTATCCTTCAAATCCAAGCATTATTTTTCTGAACATTACATTTCATTACTTGTTTACCTTAACAAAGTCATTTGGGTCATGGTCTTAACTTAAAGGTCCCCTGAAATGCTTAGAAATATGCAGCGTTACTCTGTGTTGAC